AAGTCAGAATTCTGAGATCAAAGTCAGAATTCTGAGATCAAAGTCAGAATTCTGAGATTAAAATCAGAATTCTGAGGAAAAAAATTAGAATTATAATAAAAAAAAAAAAATAGAATTCTGAGAGTAAAGTCAGAATTCTGAGAAAAAAGTCAGAATTCTGAGTTTTTTTCCCATTTTAAACTGAAATAAAATGTAAAAATTAACTTTTTTTTTTCAGTGGCCCTAATCCTCTTCCGTAGGTTCCTCTTGTTCTATCATAAAGGTTTTTTAAGGTGTAGGAACATGTTTTTCAGTCCGTATTTCATCCAATTGGCACAATAGATTTTATAGATATGGTGTCAACCTTTTTTTTTTTTTCTATTCAGCATATTGTAAAAAATATTTAGCCCTTCATGTTATTAAAAAAGTCCTGTGCACAGAAGAGAAAATCGCAGTTCATCATTTACTCATCAGCTGGATTGATAAGATCAGTTCATGTGAAGTCATGCCCATAAAGTGTTTTTTTAATAATAGATTATCTCGGCTGTTCTTTTTCCGCAGCTCCAGTGGAGTCTTCCTGAGACCTGAACCAACTGAACTCTGATTCTGTCGCTGTGGGCGGATCCCGCTCTGCTCACCTGTGGGACTGCAGTATTATTTTATTTCGGAAACTAAAAAGGCACCGTCTAATTCCTTACACGCCGGTTACAGGAAATCGCCTTAAACATGTGACCTCATGACACTTTTACCAGAACACTGAACATTTCATACATCTTTGATCTCACTTAAGGGCATTAATGTTGTTTTATTTTTCCTGTGATTCTTTTAGAAGTAACAAACTAAAACGTTTTAGTAATTTGTGCTGCTTTTACGTCCTGTGTAAAGATCCTGCTCTCATACTTGAACTCTGGTGCTGGCTTCCTGCAACTCTCATTCCCTCTTTGGGGAGAAGGGGGCTGATGGGAAATGTAGTTTTCCCAATTTGTATTACTTTGTAAACATGTCAATAAATCCTAAAGCATTAGTACAGAAAAATGGTGTTATAAAGCTTTGAAAATGGTGCTGCAGATGTAATAGTTTCAAGTTTTCTGTAAACTCTGTACATGAGGGTTTCACTGTGTTTTTACTTGGTCAGAAATATTTTTTTTGTGCGTTTGCTCAAAGTGTTGTTTTTTTTTCTTCAGACTTTTCTCTGACTGTTGCCGCCGTCTTTGTATTTTTCTAATCTTTTTCATAAATGACTACATTACACACTTACTCTTGAGCAAATGCCTTATTTTATGTACCATATCCTTTTTGTACAGCGTTGGTGTACGGTTCACGATTATCCGACTGATAGACTTTGATTTAATCTTATTTAATGAAAATGCTTGTTTCTGAACACAAATAAAGCATTTCTAAAACATTATAAACATATTTACACGCAGCAGAGACACAGGTTTGTTATGTTTGAGTTTTATTCGGCTTTCTTTGTTGTTGTTTTTGTTTTTAAATGCCTCCATGCCAACCAACCCCATCAGACACCACCAGCTGGTGGCGCTGTCTGATATATCTGAGTCATTTTCCACAAATCATGTTCAACAGCACCTACCTCCAGCGCTATTAACCAGTGGCGGCTGGTGGAGTTTTCTCCTGGAGGGGCTATAACTTCAAAATAGACATATACCAAAAACCAATTAAATGTACACTAAGTTATCACACCAGTATATTACATGACTTCCAGCAACAAAAAAAACAAATTTTCTGAACAGTGCTTTAAATCAGTCATACGTGTCTTAATATATGCTGGGTCAGACAATGGTGTTTAAAAAAAAAGCAGGAAAAGCAGAATAAAGCTTTATGTAACTATTGGTTAAGTTCACAATGTTTACAGTTAGTAGCATCAGAGGATTGGTTCATAATGGAGCCTGGGAGTTGAGTGAAGACCAACACCAAATATAAGGTTTTGAATTGAATATATATTAAGATTCAAAACAAAAAGATGTTAACAGTCAGAGAAGGATAGCTTAAAACAAACAATGAGTAATGACAATTTAAAGGTTTTATACTTTCAGTCCTTCACATGTCAAAAAGGTCCTTAAAATAATGGCGTCCCTCTCAAAAAAAGAAATGAAGAGGGAGGGGGGGAAATCCTGAAATAATGAGGAAAAATAAAAATAATCCATGAACTCCTGAATAAAACAAAATCCTATAAAATATAAAGACTTAAAATGAAATAAATATTAGTATGCCTCATATCTACAATCTAGTAGAAGAATTTCAGACAGATTTAAAGGGGTCACATGACCTGGAGGCTATTGAAGAAAAACACCAAATTCTGAATTTAAAAAATATCCCCCCATATTTAAAATGACTTAAAATGTAATATAAATGTGTGTGCTTCATTAGCCCCATCTAGTAGAATAATTTCAGACAGATTTTGAGACAATGGGTCACATGACCTCGAAGCTATAAAGAAAAACTAGATTTTGAATAAATAAAATCGTAAAAGATTATAAAAAGGAAATAAAGATGAGTGCGTCTCATATTACCCATCCTGTAGAAACACTTGAGACAAATATTTAGTCAATATGACGCATAACCTGGAAGCTACTGCAGCAAAACACAAAATTTGTATTTAAAAAATCCCATAATATAGCAAAACTTTTAAATAAAATAAGTATGCCTCATCCTACTTATCTGGTAAAACAATATTAGACAAATTTTGGGAAAATGGGTCACATGACCTGGAAGCTATTGAAGAAAACACTAAATTTTTAAGAAATAAAATCCTAAAAAAAATATAAAAAGGAAATAAAGATGAGTGCGTATCATATTACCCATCCTGTAGAAACATTTCAGACAAATTTGGAGTCAATTTGACCCATAACCTGGAAGCAATTGCAGAAAAACACTAAATTTTTATTTTTAAAAATCCCATAAAATATCAAAATACTTCAAGTGAAATAAAATAAGTCTGCCTCATCGGTCCCATGTAGTAAAACAACGTCAGAATGTCAGTAAATGTTCACATGACCTAGAAGCTATTGAAGAAAAACACTCAATTTTGAATAAATAAAATCCTAAAAAATATAAAAAGGAAATAAAGATGAGT